TAATGGAAAGAATGATAAATGAGAGACTAATGTATGTTATGGAAAAACAAGGAATGGTGACTGAGTGTCAAAGTGGATTTAGGAGAGGAAGGGGTACTATGGATGCAGTGTTATGCTTGGAAGATGAGGTAAGGAAAGCTCAAGTGAATAAAGAGACAGTTGTAGCAGTCTTTTTTGATGTGGAAAAAGCATATGATATGCTATGGAGAGAGGGGTTGATGATTAAGTTATATACAATGGGAATTAGAGGAAGACTTTTTAATTGGGTTAGGGATTTTCTGAAAGACAGAACAATTCAGGTTAGGATAGGGAAAATACTGTCTTTTAAACAAGTGGCAGAAAATGGAACCCCTCAGGGGAGTGTAATAAGTCCCACACTATTTTCAATTATGATAAATGATATATATGGACATATACAAGGGGACATGGGGAGATCTTTGTTTGCGGATGATGGGGCACTCTGGAAAAGAGGAAGAAATGTGGAGTATATAGTTAAGAAACTGCAAGAAGGTATCCAGCAGGTTGAGAGGTGGGGAATAAAATGGAGTTTTAAATTCTCTGTTGAAAAATCTAAAGTAATGTTTTTTACTAGGAAGAAAGTTAATGAGGGGATTAATTTAAAATTATATGGAAGTACTTTGGAGAAAGTTACTACATTTTGCTTTCTGGGTTTACATTTTGATCCATGGTTGACCTGGGGAGAACATATAAGGAAGGTGGAGAGTAAGTGCAAAAAAGTACTAAATACAATGAGGTGTTTAACAGGACGAGAATGGGGTGCAGACTATCAATCACTGAAATATATATATGTAAGTTTAATAAGATCAAGAATAGACTATGGGAGTGTGGTGTACAGATCAGCAGCCAAATCTGTACTTACGAGGCTTGATAAAATACAGGCTAGAGCTTTAAGGTTATGCTTAGGTGCAGTAAAAACGTCTCCAGTATGTGCGCTTCAAGTGGAAGCGGGAGAACTGCCTTTGCACATTCGACGTAAGCAGCTGCTTGTAAATTATTGGGTTAATTTGAAGGGACGTAGAGACAGTCACCCCATTAAGAGAATGTTACGATCCTGTTGGGAAAAGGAAAGGGTACGAAAGAATAGTTTTGGGTGGGTAGGAGATGAGGCAGCTAGAGATTTGGGGGTGAGAGAAACAGAGTTCTGTCCTACTGTGATGTGGCCTGACTGTCCAGTGTGGAAAATAGAAACCATGGAAGTTGATTTTCAATTGCGGCAAGTCAAATCAATAAGTAATAATATAGACCTAGTAGGTGAATTTTATAGATATGTGGAACACAAGTATGGAGACCATATTCAGATTTACACAGACGGATCGAAAGATCCTGAATCTGGAAGGACTGGATCTGCATTTGTTATAGGTCACCAGGGAAGTGAAGAAAGCAAACGAACATCGAATGGACTGAGTGTGTATACAGTTGAACTATATGCCATCATGATGGCATTAGAATGGGTTGGAAAGGAAGAAAAAATAAGTAAAATCTTGATTGGAAGTGATTCGTTGTCTGCACTGTACAGTCTCAGTTCAGGGGTGTCCAATAGCCGTCAGGATCTGGTGTATGCAATATTGCTGACATATATGAGAATAAAAGGAAAAGGTAAACAGATTCAACTTATTTGGGTCCCAGCTCATATAGGTATTTTGGGTAACGAGAGGGTGGATAAGCTAGCCAAGCAAGCCACTAAAAAAGATGATATTGAAGTATATGTAAAAATGTCAAAAGCTGAAGGGAAAAGTATAGTTTGGAAAGAAGCTGTGAGAGAATGGCAACAGCAGTGGGATAGGGAATCTAAAGGGAGACATCTATATGGCCTTCAAAATAAAGTTGGAACGACAAGGAACTGGGGAGGGCCTAGAAGAGAGGAAACGGTAAGGACAAGATTAAGAATTGGACACAGTAACCTGAATAGTTCATTACATATTATAGGGAAGCATCCTACTGGTTTTTGTGAGGTGTGTAAGACACCTGAAACCATAGAACATGTGCTTATAAATTGCAGAAGTTATGACGCACAAAGGAGGAAAATGATGGGAGAATTAAGAAAAGGAGGATTGGGTGGAGCAGGGATAAAAGATGTATTGAAAAGTGGGATGATTGGGCAAGGCAAGAAAAGCCTTTGGAATTTCCTAGCTACTACTGGTTGGCTGGGTAGAATATAAGGTGTGGAGGAACTGATCTGGAAATGGAGGGGAGAAACTACGAAGGAGAATCATCCAGAAGGTGGCGGTAGTGCAACACTGACGGATGCAAGCCGCCGTTAAACTCCAAAGAAGAAGAAGTCTTCCCCAGATCCGTCATTGTATTGTCTCGATGTTCGTGCCTGTCAGCCATCCCGTTCCTATTAAAACCCTGTTTGTCCGACTTCTCGGCTCAGCTCGCCTGCTTTCCTGCTCGCCCGCCCGCCAGTCCTGACAGAATGACGGATCTCCCCAACGCACCTCCGCAGATCGATGAACAACGCATCGATCTGCTCCGCGAGGTGCTCTACTGGCTTCACCTGCCGGAGGTCCGGGAGGACTCCGGATTATTGGAGTTAGCCAGTGTAACGAGTGGAGTTTAGTAAGTGTATAATTTAACAAAAATCCCTCTGTAGTTTGTGTTATATGTGAATGTGGACCAATCAGGTGGTTAAGAACTACAATTCCCGACAGGCAGTCTCTCGTATATAAGGCGTTCGCGCGCTTTTACTCGCCCTTCTGCTATGTGCAGGGGAAGAGGTAAGAGCGTAAGCGCGAGCTGCCGAATGGCCTATAGATTTATTAAAGTACATGAGTAGTATGTAAAGGTACTATGTATTTGTATTATAGGTGGACAGGAGAGCTAGGTGTCGAGGGGATTGTAATTTCTATTATCCGTCAGGTAGGTTCCACATCTCCATTATGTGTCGTTATTTTATGTAAAGTGTTGATTAGCTTTCGCCTTCGCGCTTCTGCTATGTGCAGGGGAAGAGGTGGGCAGGAGAGCTAGGTGTCGAGGGGATTGTAATTTCTATTATCTGTCAGGTTCGACAATAAATGGGAAGACGGACTTCCAGTACCCCAGTTGATGTGGCTCATCCTTTCCTCTACCCCCACATGCTATCGGAGAACCCCGTAAAAAGACACAACGCAGAGAAGAAAGCTTTAGAGCTGGTTTAATTTTCGTTTCGTTTTATTTTATGACCATTAACTGGTCAGTTTCACTGCTCGGTGAGGAGCAGCATCTTAGACCGGTTACACCAGCAAGAGCGGGACCCTCCTGGAGGGGATAACCCCGCTTACAGCAGTGTGCATACTGGCGGAAGTGCGCGAGAACCTCCGGCTGCTCGTCGACGGGGTGACGGAGAAGCGGCTACAGCCGCTCACCCTCTCTGTGGCAACCCCGCCTCAACCGACTGGCCCCGGCCGAAGAAAAAAGAAGAGGCGCAAGGGGAAAGCACTAGAGGAGACCCCGACCATTTCCCTGGGGGCTTGCTTTCTCCATTCTGCCTCTCTCCCCGCTGACTGTCGGGGGGAGTCCCTCCCAACACAGAAGCCAGCGGGGATCTCTGCAGCCCAGTAGCCGCCGTCACCAGTAGCCTCCATGCCACCTGGAGTATGCGGGGATTCGGGCCGTCTGGGATGCGATTCCCCGGATCCCCAAGGCCCTTAAAGGGGCAGCGCCTGTACGCCCAGCACCGATCCTGGCACCTATAGCGGACCTGCCTGCTCCGGACGTGCCTGCAGCATCAGCTGCTGCTGCCGCCGCTCTGCCCGCGGCACCGCCTGCTGCAGCTGCCGCCGCTTTGTCAGCGGCACCGCCTGTCCTGCCTGACCCGCCTGTTCTGTCTGACCCGCTTGCCCTATCTGCGGTCCCTGCAGCTGTCGCCACTCTACGGCGTACTGCGGCGCCCCCTGCTGGCCACGTGAAGGCGGCGCCCGCCGAGGCGCCCCCTGCTGGCCACACGCCTGAGGTACCTACTAAGGCGCACCCTGCTGGCCACGTGACGGCGGCGCCCGCCAAGGCGCCCCCTGCTGGCCGCACGCCTGAGGTGCCTGCGGAGGTGCCCCCTGCTGGCCGCACGCCTGAGGCACCCCCTACTGGCCACGTGACGGCCACGTGACGGCGGCGCCCGCCGAGGTGCCCCCTGCTGGCCGCACGCCTGAGGTGCCTGCGGAGGCGCTCCCTGTTGGCCGCATGCCTGCTCTGCCCGCGGCCCTGCCTGAGGCCGCCGTTCCCGTCCTGCCCGCGGCCATACCTGAGGCCGCCGTTCCCGTCCTGCCCGCGGCCCTACCTGAGGCCGCCGTTCCCGTCCTGCCCACGGCCCTGTTTGAGGCCGCCGCTCTGCCCGTCCAGCCCTGCTTATCGGTCCAGCCTGCTCCGGACCCGCCTGTTCCGGACCCACCTGTTCCCGTCCTGCCCACAGCTCCAGCTGCACCGCCTGCTGCAGCTGCCGCCGCTCGTTGCGAGGCGCCCCCCTGCTGGCCACGTGACTGAGACGCCCGAGGGGCCTGCTGAGGCGCCCCCTGCTGGCCAAGTGATGGCGGTGCCCGCCGGGGCGCCCCCTGCTGGCCAGGAACTGAGGGTGCCCGCTGCAGCATCGCCCGAGGGCCTGACTTTGCCTCCGCCAGCAACAGAGGAGGCTGCTCTGCCCATGGTGCCCGTTGCTGACTGCACGCCCAAAGCGCCCTCCGAAGCGCCCCCTGCTGGCCAAGTGACCGCGACCGTGCCTAGGGCCGCCTCTCCAGTCCTGCCTGTGGCCCGGTCTGAGGCTGCCCGCAGGATGGGGACATAGGCGTCAGGCCCGGGTCCCGCCCACCCTGCCCCCTGGCTCGCCCGTTCGGCCCCTGGCTGTGGCTTGGTGGCTGCCTGCGGGTCCTCCGGCTCGGGGTCGGCGGTCCCCTCTGGGTCCCCCCCTGGTTCCTTGGTGCCGGTCCTCGGTCCCGCCTCCGGCTCCGTGTCGGCCGCCTCCGGGCCCCCCTGCTCCGGCTTGGCGTCGGACGGCGCCTTTGCCTGCCGCGGCTTCCCCCTCCTGCCTGCCTGCACCGGTGTTCCCTCCTGCTCCCTCCGTGTCCCCTCCATCACTCCCTCGTCCCGTTCCCTTGGCCCCTGGGTGGTCCCCTCCTGCTCCCTCCTGCTCGCCCGCCCGCCAGTCGTGACATAGAGTAAGTTGCCTTGGAATTTTATGTTCTTAACCTTTTCTTTTTTACAGTGTACCTCCAGCTGATGTCCATGTTTAGGGCATGTAGTCTCTCTTTCTCCATTCCTTTTCCTCCTCACCCACTGCGCATATTTGCTTTGGCTCTTTCCCCCAATTCTAAGTCTGTGTCCAGTGTCTATTCCCTCCTCCACAAAACCTCTCTCAATCACTTCTGTCTGGCAGATGGAGCTCTCCCCCACCCCAATGTTATCCTGGAGTGTCATTATTCACAATATTAAAAATTGTTTTAAAATCCCAGTCATCAGCAAATGCAATTTAAATTTGTTCATAGATTGTACTCCACTCCCAGGAAATGCCATATCATGGGTTTAGAGCATGACCCACTATGTCTTCTCTGTCCCTTTCAAATCCCTGGTACCTTTCTTCATATGTTCTGGGACTGTCCTCCTGTTGTTGATCTTTGGGATTATGTTTCCAGCTTTCTCTTATCAATTCTTTCATTTTCCATTCCTCTGTCCCTTGTAGTCCTTCTTCTTCTGGACTTCCTTCTTTCCCTTTCTTGCTCCCAGCACAGGCTCTTTTATTATTGTTTTTTCCCTCAGCTTTCAGCTGCGCTCTGGGGCTGTGCCAGAGACTTCTTCTGCTGACATTTTTTTTTCTTTTTCTTTTAACATGCTGTCTCAGGGTATGGAGGAGGTGTTTGTTGTGTTTTGTTCTAAGTTAATACTTGTTCAATTTGATCACAAACAAAAATGAGTAATTTGTATAACATGCTCATGATAGACAAACAAAAACCTGGGCAAATTGATTAGTTCTGTGCACATTCAACACTTGCATGGCATGTAAATATAGAAATTGCATTTTAACAGAGTGTACAACCAAATGTAGTGGCGTGAGCAGTTTGGCTCTACTCATGCCCTATTGGTCCATTGTAGTCCCATGGGGGGCTGCTATATAAGTCGGCGTCTGGAAGGGAATGGCGTCTGAACTGTGAGGCAATTTGGCAAGCCAGCTGTCGTTGGGCAGTGGGGCTGTAGGGTCAATTTGCGTGTTCCCTACTGTTCTTGGAATAGGGTTCATTCCATGGGATGCCAGTGTACGTGAAAGTTATTCTTCCGGTAAGCCTGTTGTAAATAAGATTTGTGGCAGTCCCAGTAGGGACATTATGTTACATGTAAGGTGATGTCCTTTGGGTCTGCAGTCGACGGAGCTGTAGGAGCAGGTCCGTGCTGTCATCATCTGCCTGCAACAGGTAATATATATACATTTGGACTGTTAGCCAATGTATTGACCCTTTGCGTCTGACGTCACGCTCTTTTCGCGCCGAAATGATGGACGGCGGAAGTGAATGAATCGCCTGTGGACGGCAAGCCTTCATGTAGTTGAACTGTCGTTGTTGGTTATTTTCCGCTCGTGATGGTGGTGCAGTGCTTCTTTCTAGCCATCATTCTTACAATTCGAATGAGGGTATTGGGGAACTATCCGGAAGCATGTTCATTGACTCAGATATAGCTACAAGGTTTGCATGTGGCAAGTTTAAGACTGCATACATGACTCGGTTCGGCATTGCACCAAATTTTAAGAAATTACTTATAAACAAAACAGGTATTGTATATACAGGTAAAATGGTTAAACTTCTCTCTTAAGATTTATTTTGGGACATGTTCAAACTTTTCTCTCACGTTGCATCAACCAATCAATACCAATGCTTACCACCCATTATAGTTCCATGGACTCTTTGGACAGTTTTTTAATCCACAGTGTAAGTTATTGTTACAAGTTACCTCGTGATGAAATAATACACTACTTTAGTCTGTGTGTATGAGAATGTGTGTCTGTCTTAGTGTGTGTGTGAGTGTCATATGACACTGATAACATTTTTTAGTAATGTTTATGGCTGTTGTAAGTGTCATTTATTTTGAGAAGTGTCAAGTTGACTTTATTAGGTGGGATTAAGGGTTATGGTTAGGATAACCCAAGAGCTAGAGTTAAAGTAAGGACAAATGAAACTCAACTTGACACTTTTACTGTACCTAATATTTATGATGGGTATGAAGACCCCCCCCCCCCAAAAAAAAAGCCGCTGCCCGATTGTTGGTAGTAAAAAATATTGTGGAGGTAGTAAAAAAGGTAGTAAATTGTAAATTCAACTCTAGGATTCCTGCATAAACCGTGTATAAACCTAATATAACATTTTATCGAATACCTTTTGATGAAGAGAGAAAACAACAATGGATAGCTGCAATCAGTCGGAAAAACTTGCAGCCCTCCAAGTACTCATGGATTTTCAGCGAGCATTTTATAAAAGGTAAGATTAAATTATTTTCCAGTTACATACTTATTTTATGAAATACCATACCTCGCACGCCCAGCTCCGTACGATCCTCGTGTGTGCCACGCCCCCCTCATTACCTCGTGTGAATCCCCGATTGTGATCACCTGTTGCCTGTTATGTTCAACCTGTCTTGTGCATTTAGTCCGTGTCTCAGTTAGTTTCCCCAGATCCGTCATTGTAGTATCCGTAGATGTCCCTACCTGACTGTCTTTTGACCATTAAAACCCCTGATTACCCGTCAGTTCCGCTCGCTCTCCTGCTTCACTGCTTACCTTCTTACCCGAACGTGACAGAATGACGGATCTCTCGAAAGACTCACCGCGGCAGGACGAGGACCTATGGCTCGTCCTGCTACACGAGGTGAGTTATTAGTGAGAGATGCCGGAGATCCAACAGGATCCAAGCTTATTCGCCCTGGTGGAGAGGAGCTGGACATTATTATAGGGAGTTACCCCAATCACGGAAGCGCCCGCTATGGCGGAAGTGCGCTCCCTCCTGCGGCAGCTTGTCGACCAGGTGAAGGAGAAGCGGCTCCAGCCGCTCGGCCCCACAGAGGCAACCCCGCCTCAACCTACCAATCTGGGTCGGCGCAAAAAGAAGCGAAGGGGAAAAGGAGAGGAAGTCGCCCCGACGCTCTTCCTGGGAGCCTGCTCTCTGCTACCTGCCTGGGAGTTTGATATTGAGCGCGAGGGCTCACCGCCCGCCTGGGAAGATGTCGCTGCTGCCCGCCTGGCCAGTTTCCACCCGGAGAAGCCGCCACCGTTGGAGTCTTACTTTTATCAGCCGGAGCGTCTAGGGCAAGGGGGAATACGCGCTGTGAGAGACGCTATTCCGCGGATCCCCCAAGCCCTTAAAGGGGCAGTCGCTGGCTTACCTGCTCCGGACCTGCCTGCTCCGGACCTGCCAGCAGCACCGGCTGCTGCTGCCGCCGCTGTGTGCGAGGTGCCTGCTGCGGCTCCCCCTGCTGGCCATGTGTCTGCGCCGCCCGCCGAGATGCCCCCTGCTGGCCACGTGTTGGCGGCGCCCGCCGAGGCGTCCCCTGCTGGCCGCACGCCCGAGGTGCCCGCCGAGGCGTCCCCTGCTGACCACGTGACGGTGGCGCCCGCCGAGGCATCCCCTGCTGGCCACGTGATGGCGGTGCCCGCCGAGGCGTCCCCTGCTGGCCACGTGACGGTGGCGCCCGCCGAGGCATTCCCTGCTGGCCACGTGACGGCGGTGCCCGCCGAGGCGCCCCCTGCTGGCCGTGCGCCCGAGGTGCCCGCCGAGGCAGCCCCTGCTGGCCACACGCACAGGCCCTGCCTGAGGCCGCCTCTCTTGTCCTGCCTGTCCAGCCCGGCTCTCCCGTCCAGCACGGCTCTCCCGTCCAGCCCGGCTCTCCCGTCCAGCACGGCTCTCCCGTCCAGCCCGGCTCTCCCGTCCAGCACGGCTCTCCCGTCCAGCCCGGCTCTCCCGTCCAACCCGGCTCACCCGTCCTGACTGCCTCTCAGGCTGCGCCGTCTGTGGCTACGCCCGCAGTTCCAGCTGTGTCGCCCGCGGCTCCAGCTGTGTCTCCCTTCTCTGTCTGCCTGTCTGCCTTTCCTGTTCTTTGTCGGGTTTTGTCTTGGTTCCTGTCCTTGTCCTTGTTCTGTGTTTCTGTTCTGTTTCCGGTCCCTCGTTAATGTTTTTTGCTTTTGTCTTCCAGGTCCTGTTCCCCGGTCTCGTCTCGTCCGTCGCCTCCTCTCGGGCGCACCCAGTGTGCGCGCCTTTGGGGGGGGTTATGTCATGCCCAGCTCCGTACGATCCTCGTGTGTGCCACGCCCCCCTCATTACCTCGTGTGAATCCCCGATTGTGATCACCTGTTGCCTGTTATGTTCAACCTGTCTTGTGCATTTAGTCCGTGTCTCAGTTAGTTTCCCCAGACCCGTCATTGTAGTGTCCGTAGATGTCCCTATCTGTCTGTCTTTTGACCATTAAAAACCCCTGATTACCCGTCAGTTCGGCTCGCGCTCCTGCTTCACTGCTTGCCTTCTTACCCGAACGTGACAATACCGTTATCCATGATAAACAATATGTTGCTCCAGTTGCTACACTGATCTATTACGTTTACCTGCAGCCTAAAGTTTCATCCACAACTTAAATGTTTTGGTGTCAAATCTGACAATAGTGGTTTGCCTATAGCCCTAAAATAGTCAGACAATGCAAAGAGGAAATTAATACCACCTGGTAGTTATAGGTTCGAGTGGTAATACAGACTTTCATTTCAACACAAATGCTTCTCAAAGGTATAAAGGTTTGGCAATAGCCTATCTTAGACAAGCAACCTTTTCCCGTTATGTGTATTGGAATCATTTCCTCATTCAGAGTAAATTATAGCTATTTTTTATGCCTTGGAGAGAGAAATTATTACTGAATATCTGAAGGCAATTTCTAAGCTTCAAGGTGTAATGCTGTGACTGCTGGGATGCCACTAGAGACCCCTATGGCACTGTTGTCGGCTTATTTTAATGAAACACTGATAGAAGTTGGTAGCTTAAAATTCCAGATTCATGCTTTGGATGGCAATTAACAACCGACTTTACTGATTTCTTTTAACAGGACAGAAGAGTGATGACCCTTTGTCACCTGATTATGTGCCATCTGTTTTTGTACATACCAAGTCCCCTGTGAAGAAGTGAGCCCAGGGAAGTCTTGAGAAGTATGAAGTGAGAGAGGCAATGAAAAAAGGAGACATGAGTCATCCAGACATGAAGCTGCCAGAGCACTCCTCAACCTCTAAGCTGAGAAGAATGAGCCAGTGGTAGTTGAGGCTGAAGAAGAGACTGAATATGAGGCTAGTATCAATGATAAAAGTGTTCATTCAAAATGCAATGTAATGTGCCAGACAGACCAGATTTCAGAGGGCATTGAATCACTTCAATCTGAGTGTCAGTGACTCCGGGGCGAGACCTTTACACTAAAGGAGAAGCTGAGGTCCTCAGAATTTCTTGAACAGAGCAGTTTTGAAAATAAAGATGAATTGAAAGCTTTAACTGGACTGCCCAATCTCACCGTGTTTATGGCAGTGCTAGACCTTGTAAAGCCATCCCTCAAAGACACTGCACACGTCACATCCTTCTAAAAGCTACTTCTAACATTAATGAGAATCAGGCTTAACCTTTCAGTTGTACTTTTATGCTATCTATTTGGTGCTCTACCATTTCCAGAATTTTTACAAATGTGATTAATGTTCTAAATGAGGTGTTAGTACCTATGTGTGTTATGGCCTAAGAGAGAGGACATCCAAATGTCTTTGCCAATGTGTTTCAGAAAATCATTTAAGCATTGCATTTCAGTAATAGACTGTTTTGAGTAGGGGTGGAGCCGAACCCGAATACGGTATTCGGAAAGGCACAAATAATGTGTTTTTTACGAATACTTATTTCGAACAAATACTTTAAAAAATATTTGTATTCGGGAACAAGAAAAACTTTATATTAAAAAGCTGCGTTTCCTCTTGAGACCGCAGTGCATGCCCGGATGAGTGAGTGAGTGAGTTCAGGAGTCGGGGAGGGGAGTAAAAGAGGTGACTGACACAGGCTGCTCCACACAGCAACAGAGAAGGCTCGGCTGAGCGAAAAAAAGACTTAACTGTATCACTATTTTTGTTGAATAGATTTTTGTACCTTAACTGTTCCGGAGGCAGTTTATAACTTTCGGGAAGCAGAGTTTGATCGGGAGATTATTCCATTACGCTGCATTATTGACGTCTGCAGTCAGGTGCTCTCATGTTCGCTCTGTTTACGTAGCTCTGTTAGCTCGGTAATTTAGACAATAGGCTGTTGACAGAGTAACGTTAACGTTTGGTTAAAAAGGTTAAAACAATGCTTGTGTAGTTGTGTCGAATTGTATGCACTTGTAGGAGTTACAGTATATGGTACGTTTAAGTTACTCTGTCTACTGCATATCCATAATTATAATTAAAGAATACTTACACTATAACGTAAATTAGAAGTGCAACGCAAAAAAACTGGATTTTTACGCCTATTTTGAATTTTACTCGAATACGAATACAAATACAAATACTTTTCCCCCCTCAACAAATACAAATACAGATACAAATACCGGCTGCTTTGCACACCCCTAGTTTTGAGATAACCATCGATAAACCAAAAGATTTCAAGGCTAGGGCACAGACATACTCCCAGTACAAAGCTCACAACACCATGAATACCTAATAGGTATTACCTCCACAAGGAGTAATCTCCTTTATATCAAAGGGCTGGGGTGGGCAGACAACGGATGCTCACATTACGGCAAACAGTGGGTTTTTGGATAACCTGCTACCAGGAGACTTGGCCTCCGCTTCACAATTCAGGACCAAGTTGGGTTGTACTGCGTGAAAGTTGCCTGCCTTTGCACGGGGCAAAAAACAACTGGGGGCTGTTGAACTAGAAGAGTCACGAAAACTAGCAGCAGTCCGCATACACGTTGAGCGGGTAATTGGACAAGTATGATTCAAGTATAGAATGTTACACGGACCTGTGCCTATTAGTCTTCTACTGTACAACTCTCTGGATAAAATAGTCAGAGTGGCTTGTGCCCTGACGAATCTGTGCCCCTCAGTGGTGCCAATTGATTGATTGATCTGATGAAATCACCATGTTTATAGAAGGCCTCCATATTTTGCACTGCTTTTGTAAAGAAGTCAGCATCAGGCAAAATTCTCTGCAAGAAAACAATGGACTCAGACCACACCATGAACTCACAGTACTTTCGCCGTGTTACAAAAAACTGGGCTTGCATCTAGTAGTGGTACTGATGATCTCTAAGTCCATATGTACCATCAGTGTTCTCATTGCAGAGATGCCTCTTTTCAGTGGCACTGAGGACTCCGGTGTCTTTCGCACAGTGCGGGTACTTGATTTCCAAAATACCATCACCACAGCAGGTGCAAGAGAGCAAGGCATCTGGAGATGCTCCAAGTTAGGGGCGGGAGGCGTCAATGTGGAGACTGGTTGTCACAAACCCTGAGGCCCTGATGCTGCTGTGCAGTAAAAGCCTCATAAATATCTCTGGTTTTTTTCTCATGTTCACATCCCCATCTGACAAATAGGAAAATTATGTTAAGTTATTGCAGCTCTTTAAGTGCCCTTTACATTGGATTTCTTCTGTCATTTCCCTAAACACTGCAAGCTCTTCTGATGCTAGTGCCCAAAATTGGCCTAACCAGATTCCATTCTTTTGCATCACATCTGATATTGAATCACAGACTATCATAGTGGCTTTGGGAATGTACTGAATATAGTATTCCATATTTATGATAACAGTTTATAGAACCCTCTATCAAATTTCTTAACTCACTTACTCAACAGTGAAATTAAAAATAGAAGTTGTATGTTTGTGTCATAGTGCCAAACATGCCTTGTTGCAACTGTTGAAAATTTGCATAGGTCAGGGTAACAGATCTGCCTAATTACTGTCTTGGAAGGATGTGTAGGGTCTGTCCTTGCAGCTGACTTGAACCTGGATGCTGTCACCCTACCTGCTTTCATGTCAAACCAAAGCCTTGACTTTCCCTGTTGTTGAGTCTCTTCCTCAATTTTTACTGCCTACAACATTCAAAAGTATACATATTGAAATGAATGACACTTTGCACATGACACTAATGCACATTATTGTCACTTGAGGTTAAAAGGAATGCATATACCTGCTCTGGGGTGACTTCCAGGTCCTTGAATACCACATCACATTTTCTGACAAGGTCAGAAGCAGACAGTTTCTGGTTCCGAGCACTATACAACTCTGTCAGAGGCTCTGGTAGACCCAGAGACACCACCTTTGGTTGAAACTGGTGAATGTATTGTGATAGTATGCATAGGAGACCACTCTTCTCTGCAGGATTTGGAGTTGCATTATCCAGAGCTCTGTAGAATTTATGTATGGCTGCTGTAGACACATGTCCTTTTTTTTTACAGATGGACCTGAATGTAGGGCTGCAAATCCATTAATCAATTAAAAGTGATTATTAAAAGTATTGGCAAGGAATTTAATTATCCATTTGTTGTGATGTGTTGTTAATGTGTCACTTGCTACGTCGCGGAGAAGTTAATTTCACCTACAGACGGAGCTGAACGGAGCACGTATGTGTATGTATTTTGCATGTGCTGCTATGACAAGAAGTTATAGTGCATTTTAACCTTTATATGGTACTTTGTACTTCATTTGCAGTGTAAATGTTAAAATGTACCGTAATATCTTGTTATAGCCTATTTGTCGTTTTAACATTTACCTGTGACGCGGCTGTAGCAACGCTCTAGCCCCAGTGATCATCGGTGTGTGTTGGGTTATCCGGCGTCAATGGAGGTCGGGGTGGGGAGTAGTTCTCTGCGGATGAGCGATATTCACACTGTTTCGAGACTGTGGATTCACTGGGGACTTGGTTTAATTTCTTTGGGCAGCACATGGCTGCCCGAAGTGTCTTTTGGATTATTTGTATTCTTTTCTGTTTGTATTTCATGTTTTGGTTGGTTAATTGTGTTCTTGTATTTATATTGATTTGCATGCAATTTAGTTTTTGTTCATTTTTGGTTTGTTTGGTGTGTTTTGAATATGATTTGCCCTGTGATCGGGGATGTATTATATGCTGTGATTTTATTTGTACGTACCTCATGTAGTCTAACAGGCCCTGGAATATAATTGTAATCCTAATCCTCTGTTTTATTTACATTGTAGGGGTAGCGGCCTGAGTCGAGTTCCCCTTTTGTTGGTGGTGATGGTCCTCACTCCAGGTGGTGTGCATGGTGCCAATTACTCGGCGTAGGTACCGTGTGTGTATGTACATGCGGGGGTAGGCATCTGGTGAACCGCTCAGAGGTTCAGTCTGGGTGAGTCTCATTCATCCCCCGATTGGGGAATGCGATGTTGTAAGCCCTGGAAACTGGTGTGAACTGCTTCTGGGGCATGACCATCCTGTGTTGGGCTGAATAAAATGTTGATTTGAGCTGCGTCTCTGTCCTCCTTCGGTTATACGAACCTGTGTGCCTGTGTCCTATTTATATTATTGGGAGTATATCCCCGGGTGCAAGGTCTGGAGTGGTGTAGTCTGCAAATTGGGTATCCTCCGGGTCTTGGACGACCATGGCTTAATGGTTAGGGAAGCACACTCGTAATTGAAAGGTATAAATCCCTGACCAGCAAAGCACCACTGAGGTACCCTGAGCAACATACCACCCCCAAGCACTACTCCCTGGGTGCTGAATTAGCTGGCCCCTGCTATGTCACATATGGGTTAAATGCAGAGAACACATGTTGCTGTGGTGTGTCAACAATGACAACTAATCACTAAATTCTAGTTGTAGAAACAAAGAATCTCTAAATGACATAAAAACCAAATATTAGTGCAAGAATGGTCTTGAAGACATACATGTTACGGACGCGGTGCAGGAAAGCAGGCAAGCTGAGCCGGACTGACAGGCAAATGGGGTTTATTGAGCACAGATGGGCAGACAGGGACAGGACCAGGCACTACGTCAGACAACATCAATGACAGAACTAGGGAATACAGGTACAGACGCCGACTAAATACACCAGACGGGTAGGAAAGCACAAGGAATAGCTGATGGGGGCAGCGTGTGGCTCAGTGGGCTAAGCCGTGTGCCTGTAATCACAAGGTCACTGGTTCAAGCCCAGCCTCAGCACATCTGCAGGTCCTTGAGCAAGACCCTCAATCCCCAGCTCCCTGGGCACCACTACAGATAGCTGCCCTTCATGGACAGCTTGCATCTACTGCCAAGTACCCTGTGACCCATGTGCCATTTTAATTTTGAAACTAAACAGACTTGCAAAATTAAAAAAAAAGACAATAAAATTAAACGAATTAAAAGTGATCCCCGCATATTGCAGAAGTTACGTTTCAGACCCATCAGCGAAAGGTGAAAATCCGTGATATAGAAATTAAGACCATATAAATAAACATTTTATATATATACACTCACCTAAAGGATTATTAGGAACACCATACTAATACGGTGTTTGACCCCCTTTCGCCTTCAGAACTGCCTTAATTCTACGTGGCATTG